ACTTCATGAATATTGCTGCAGAATTTTATAGTACCTCTGAGATTTTTCCATTTTTGCAAAGAAAACCAGTTTTTATGAGAAGAAAATCAATCTTTTATTTTTTCTTACTATATACACTTTAGGGGACCACAGGTGTTTTATACCCCACAGAGTTCCTTGGAGAGTAAAAACAATTCACATATTTAGTGTGTATGTGTATGTATGTACTCTTTTGACTTTTGATTTTCTTCTCATTTTTCTTCACATTTTATGTCTTTTCTATCAATATTAAGAATGTAGATAGGATTGAGCTTATTTTGCCTACCCTCTTTAGTGATTTCAATCACTCCTTTAGATTATGGATGCCTTTGAATAGTAACAGAAGTTTAGAAATGATGCATATATAAAAATATGCTGATGAAGATTCTAAAAGTTTTAGCTTACTAGACTCATAAGAAATGACAATGTTTTTATAAAAGGTGAAAAAAAATAGTACAAAGCACATTCTTTAAAAGGCCAGGATTTTTTTAGTAAAAGATCAGACGTAACAAAATCTAAAAACACTTCAGTTTTTAGAACTTCATCTCTTACATCACATTCACGTGTTGCGCTAAGCTGAAGTTTATCATTGATCACAGAAAATGTGTTTAATAAGCACTATCAATAATTGCAAACTCAGGAGATCTTAACGTTGTATGGGTTTTCTAAATGTTTTTTGGCAAAAAATTTCCAAGCATGGATAATACAACCGCTTATCAAGAAGCCTGACAGGAGAGGTTCTAGCAAGACTTATCTCATACTGAAGAAATGAAATAGTTTAGATGTTAAAAGAATCAACTTGTAAATGAATTCTTCTGAGCCATAGCACCATTCTCAGGTGAATGATCTTTTCTTCAGAGATTCTCTTAGAGTTGCCAAATGGTTTCCCAGATGGAAAACTCAAGTATTGGATGTGTGGAAACTTAAGTCAGGCTTCTTATTACTACATTTAATAATAGAAAGTTGACGTAGGTAGTTTTTAGGTTAAAAATGATCAAATGAATAATTAAGAGTGCCCAGTAGTAGCAGTAACTATGGAGTTACTAGCTAGTCCTCTGACATCAATATCACACACCCTTGGCACTGTCACTCAGAAATAACTTGGTCTTCCTAGACTGAACTAAATACTTCTGTGGTCAAGGAAGATAGTCTCATTCATTTTTCATTTCTCTTAACTCCCTGAAATAGCCTAAGAGGAGTAAGATGAAGGGACAGAGAGAGGCTTAAAGGAACATGGTTTCTCCTCTGGAGGCCCCAACTGCAAATTAATAGCTCTCTTGGTTGTTTGTAGTCTCCTCTGGATATGTTCTGGTCTTGGATCTACAGAGAATTAAGGGTTAAAAAGAACTTTAAGATGTTTTGGTCTCCCTTTCTTATTTCCCAGATGGAGAGACTGAATTTCAGAGGGTTACCTTAGTCACAGAGGCTTGCTAGTGGCAGAGCCAGAATTTTCCTCTGGTTTCCTTGGAAACCATTAGTATTGCTTCACTACCACCTTGCACTGCCAACTATTACATTTCATCATGTGTTGGGCTATAGGTCATAGCGGGCACAAAGGGGGAAAAGTGGCTGAGAAAATAATCTCCAGAAAGAGAAGATATCTGCATTGTGCACATGGTGGCTGCACCTGGTGAGCACATGGTGGCTGCAGACACTTTCACTCCAAGATCTCTTTGTGGTTTACTTGCTGCCATTCTGAAGTCCTTGGGAAAATTTGCTCTGAACGTCTCTAAAGAAACAGAATCAGCCCACTGATTTTATCTTCTGCAGCAGACGGTAGAGACATGAGACTCAAAACCATAGTAGTGCAACATAACTTACACTCAAATAAGTCCCCTACTGTGCACAGCACCTATTCTCATGCTATTGGTTCTTTCCCCTTTGCTTTTTGCTTACATTGTTCCCTCTATTTTAAAAATGAAACAAGAACTATTTTCCTTTTGTAAACTTAAAAAAAATGTATTCTAGAACAAAACATTTATACAGAAAAGTGAACAAACACAGATGTACAATTTCATGAATAATTATAAAGCATGCTACCTTATTCCTATGGTCACCACAGGCCAAGAAATAAAATATTGTCAGCATAACAGAAGGCTTTCCATTTCTGTTTTCCTTCCTGATTTCAACTCTTCTTCCCCTTTACACCAGAACCAATAGACTGAATTTTGTGATATTCATTTAGGTTATATACTCTGTTTCTAGCCTTTTAGTCATCATTGAAGAAATCACAACATGTACATTTCACTTGTCAGAGTTTCAAGTTACATATATCTTTACTCTCCTCCTAGACAGTATGTTCTAGGTTGACAGGTAGTTTCTTTCAGCACATTGAAGATATAATTATAATTCCACTGTATCTTGGCTTTTATTGTCAATGTTGAAACATTACCTTCAAGAAGCTACTGTTAGGCTGAGGGTGATCTTTTCCTGGTTGCTTTTAGAATTTTTATTATGATACATCTAGTTGTGCATATTTAAAAAAAATTTGCTTGTATTTTATTGGGATTCTGAAATCTATGAATTAAGACTGCATTTTGAGTGATTTTTCTAACTTAATTTCCCAGTTCATCAACCCTCTCTTCAGCACTGTTTAATGTGCTTTTAAACTATCCAGTGAGTATTTAACTTCAGTGTGGTTTTTGCCAGTTCTAACTGGTTGTTTTTCAAATTAGTTGATTTTTTTTTTTTAGTTTCCTATGTTCTGCAGATATTATCACCAGTTTGTCTTTTATTTCTTTAAACCTAGTAAGCTCAATTGTTTTATTATGTGGATCTGATAATTCTAATAATGTAATTGTTTATGGGTTTGTTTCTGTAGCCTGTTTATTGTTATCTTGTTTCCTTACATGACTGATTATGTTTCATGGTGCTTGTCATCATATTTAAATATTTGTAGGTAGGATTTGAAGCCTAGGATGTTAAGTCTTTTCTTCCTGGAATAGTTTGCATTTTTACCTTCAGAAATCTTGGGGTACTAATAATCCAAAATCACCTTAAACAAAATCCCAGGATTGAGGTTTTCTGGACCATTAAAGCAAGTTGAAGGTGGGCTATGATCTTCATGAGGGCTGGTTTACATCTGGTTCACCTGTACTGCAAGGAATAAAATCCTTTGGAAGCCCAGCTTACTGAGGAGAGGGTTTTCTACTCTATTTCTCACTTTGAAGACTCTGAGACTTGAGTCATGAAAACCAAACCAAAGTTTGAATCTGGGGGCACATCAAATACTCGGAGTAAGAACAGTTCCTAAGTTCTGCTTATCTCTCTTCTTGTTCTTGTTCTTCAAATTAAACCTCGCAATTTCTCCTCTTTGTGCCAGCTCTTTACTCCTTTCAATATTATTTTTGGACATTTTGTTCAGCATTTTTGGTGGTTTCTGTGTGGAAGTTTGTTTGCATCATCTGTACCGTCATAATGGACAACTGAAATGTGTGCAGATATTTTCACAGTCAAATCCCCAGGTTGAAAATCTATTCTCTAGCACAATGAGAGATAAATTAAAGCCTGTGGATAAAGAGAAAAACAAATAACATTGGTAATCTTAAATAACATTAAGGCAACTAATACAAGCAGAGTTGTGGCAAATGAATCCTGTATAACGCTAATCCCATTATAAATTGGAGTCTTTTTTTCAGAAAGCAATATGGCAATACATAGTGTTATAATAATGTTTAAACAGTTTGACCACATGTCATAGTATTTACATAAAAGCAAAATGCTGAAAACAATCCTGATATCCAACATTAGGTGGAAGTTTTAATAAATTATGATAGATTAATGTTATGGTCTATTAGTCATTAAAAGGGGTAATTATGATGGCTGTAAAAAATGGAAAGTTTATGATAAAACATTAAATGATAACAGCAGGACACAAAGTAATATGTTTGCTGTATAAAACAGATACATATCTGTAAGATAAAGAACAAAAATACACAAAGAGTGTTTCTGTTGCACTGGAGGTTTAGGTAATTTATTTCCTTAAAAATTCTTACCATTCTTACATACTTTTCTCAAGAGTGAAGATGGAAATATCAGAATTAAGTAAAATATTGTCATGCTAATTATTTTTCTCAATTTCAGCATGGAACTTACTCACATTAAAAAAAGAAAAGGAAAAAAGAAAGGCAAAGAGCAGTTTGAACTTTTAACCTATTAACTCAGAATCTGCAGCCAGGCCCAAACCCTCTCAGTTCTTCCTGATGTGCTCCCCACATAGCTCACAAAAACAACCTTGTCTTCCTATAAGCTTAAAATTCATTATAAGAAACAAAAGAGTAAACAAAAATCTGGAGTTTTACTCTTATCATCAGACCTTGCTTCCATCCTCAGTGGATGAGGTTCAGAGAAGAAACATTTCTGTCATTTGAAAATGGTTAATCTATTCTTTGACTTTCTAACAGGAGGGTGTCATGTAAATATATATTTATATATAATCATTCATTTTTAGTTTAAGCTATTTTATACTTTTTGAAGTTTTTTTCCCAAACTACATTATTCCCCAAATCACTCGTTTGACTAAATGCTCATTCTCCTGCAATTTCAATTTTAAAAGCCACTTCTTCAAAGTGGTTTTATCTGATTCTCCTATCAAAAGTAGAACCCAAGCCCACCACCTTGATTGGAATACTAAGTGCTCCATTCTTGCACACATTATGGTGCATTAATACATATTTATTTGTTTACCATCTGTTTCCAGAATGAATGCTGCTAAAGGGCAGGAGCCATCTCTGTTAGATTCATACTATATCAATTTATTAAATAATATATTACATATTATATATCAACATATGATAAACAAGTTTCTGGTTTGGTGTTTCTGAGGGCACAATTTTACCTTTGGTCAAACAGTTGTGAAATTCTTTCATTGTGGAGTGATAGTCGTAACTTTCTGAAATGAAGAGATCATGTTTGTGTTCAAACATAATTACTAGGGCAACATCTTCATGAAGTGTCACTTCTACTGTTTTCTTTTTATCCAGGAGAAATCAAGGATTCTGCCAAGTCTGAGATGTTTACATTTCATAATGGAGGTGTACAAATTTTATGCAAATACCCTGAGACGGTCTGGCAATTTAAAATGCAGTTGCTGAAGGGGACGCAAATACTCTGTGATCTCTCTAAGACAAAGGGAAGTGGAAACACGGTGTCCGTTAAGAATCCGAAATTCTGTCAGTCTGAGTTATCCAACAACAGTGTCTCTTTTTTTCTGTACAACTTGGACAGTTCACATGCCAGCTATTACACCTGCAAACTATCCATTTTTGATCCTCCTCCTTTTCTAGAGATTCTTAGTAAAGAATATTTGAATATTTACGGTAAGACATTGTTTTCATCTTCTAGACTTGAGTATATAGCCATTTTATAACTTTTCTCACTAATGAAACCAAATGAGTTTCTTTTGCATTAGAGTTCATGTTGGTGCAGTTGATGGTAATCATAGGCAAGGGATGTTTTGTTAATAATAATGATTAGTATTAGTAATATGCCACTTGATCGTGTAGGTTAGAAATAGAAGTAGGTTGCATTGTCGTTAAAACACATATGCCATTAAACGTTGGGGAAGAAAATTAGGACAAATACCCAAGCCCATGGCTTTAATGGGTTTTCATGGTTATTACCTCTACTCACCCACAGTTTAAGATTTTGCCTTTGTGCTGGGTTTGTGGAATGCAGTGAGATGATTGAAAATAGTTTTATGCCATTATTTTTTCCCTTTTTTTGCAAAAGTGTAGGCAGAAAAGTCCTTCTTATTAACCACATATGTAAACGTGTATGTGCATAGTGTCTTGGGTTTCAGTGTTTGGATCCTTGCTCTGATACTGATACGATGCTACCTGCTATTTACTGGATTTCATAAGTGTAATGAAGACAAGCTCCATTTGATTCAATAGCTCTTCTGAATTTGATAAAAGAATTAATGATTCATCACTGAAAGGAGAGATCTGATTCTCCGAGTTTTTCCCTTAACATGTCTTTTTTTCCAACCCAGAATCCCAGCTTTGTTGCCAACTGAAGTTCTGGTTTCCCATAGGATGTGCGGCTTTGGTTGTACTCTACATTTTTGGGTGCATATTTATTTGTTGGCTTACAAAAAAGGTGAGCAATGCCTATCTCTTCTCACATCTGCTTTCTTAAGGAATATCTCAGGGGTTATTCATTCATCAAGGTACATATTGCTCTTGCCAGAGAAATTTGGTTAACAGGTGGATGATGTATTTTCTTCAAGATATGCCTAGTAGTTACACAACTAACTTGGAACAGAAGTTTGATTTTACAGTGGCTTCACTCCAAAAGGATTTAATGGCTTACAGAGAGATATGTTATTATTCAAAGAGATAAGGAAATTGGGGCCAAGGAAAGACCGAAAGTCAGGAGGAAGGTTAAAACATAAAAATAGGTGCTTCTGACTTTTAAAAATTATTAAACATGCGCTGCAAAGGTGATTCTACATTTCCAGAGTCAGGGCAAAGATGAAATAATTAAAATGTTACCAGTTTCACTCAGCAGGTTAGTGGAAAACAATGAGTGAGAAAGTGGGGAAGGCGCTGGGAGTAGCTGAGAAGGAAATGGCTCCCTTCCCTACATGGTGAAGTCATCAGGACTTCTTGCTTTAAAGAAAACCACTGAATCAGCTATGCAGTAAGATAAAATAACAGTAATAATAATGACAACAACAAAAATCTTTCTGTGTTGGGGAATCTTTTTTTTTTAGTCTTCCACGATATATGTCCTCAAGCAAAGACCTTACACCATTTTGCGTATTACGCAGGTATGCTGGTCCTCAGTATATCCACAGCGTGATCACTGGCTAGACAGACAGCCTGTGTATCTGTGCCAGAAGGGAGTTTGAAAAGAGAGAGAAAGGACGAAAAGTGTAAGATAGGGCCCACAATCTAAGTCTACAGGAGAAGGAATGATAAAAGCATAAACAAAAAAAGGAATTCAGCAGAAAGCTTTTTACAGAAACCCCCCTTCATAGTGCTCTCCTGCTCAGCTGACATCAGGAGCCTCCCATACCCCTTCAACAAAAAAAGTCAAAAACAGGACCATGGATGGAGATGAGGAAAAACTGATGGCAAACCAAGCTTCTGACTTTTTCTTTCAGAAGTACCGACCCAGTGCGCATGACCCTAATAGTGAGTACATGTTCATGGCAGCAGTGAAAACAGCTAAAAAACCTGGACGTGCAGGTACGGCTCCATTTGGCGGGTTGGGCAGAGAAGAGTGCTCTTCATATTAAGCCTGGGTTTTTAATTTTTTATATTAAAGGAAGGTGAAAATGTGTCGAAGGCCTAATTTTAGTATTTTCTGTGAAAATCTGGACTTTCACTTGAACTGATTGGGCATTTTCTGCAGCACATCGGAAACAAACAATAAACTTGTAAACCACTATTAAAAGCAAACAAAAAATTCACAAACCACTATTATATCGTAATTTCCTCATTGATATTTCAAAAATAGGGAGGAGTCTAAGTTTTCCTTGTTAAAAAGTTCAAGTCATACAGTGAACATGCAAATTAAATGCAAGTTCCTGAGTGTGGTACTTGGGGGATACACAGATACATGGAGATTTTTGACTGAGATTTGGAACAAACATCTGGGCTGGAGGTACCAAGGGGAAGAAGGAAAAATTGGTGACAGTATTGTAATTTTGATGAAAGAACGTGCAAGTTGAGAGTGGTGGGTGGCCCCAGTTAGGCGGGACTCTGACCTTCCCATTCACAAAGAGTGTGGTCAGTTTGAGGGCCGTTAGGTGGAGGAGCATCCAGAAAGCCTAAACCTTGTGGAAAGTTTCAAGTCATTCGCCTTTGAGGTTGCAGTGATGTGAGGTGCATTAAGAGACAGAAGCATTTTTGCCACCACTCAGTGAAATCCTTGTATAAAAGGGACACACATAGCATCTGTTGTCATGGAGTTAAAGCAGGGAAAGGGAGCTAAATGCTCATTTAGTCCTCATATTTCAGATGAGAGAAATTGATGCCAAGGTGTTCAATGACTTCTCGGCTTCCCCAGACAGTTAATGTCATAGCTTTGACACTAACAAAGAGCTTGTGTTTCATTTCTTTGCTATTGAAAAAAAAAATTCTTTCTCTCAATCTCTGTGCTCATAATAATGTCAGTCTTAGTCTGGATTCCAGAAAGCAGACCCTGAGACAAAGACTTGGGTGCAAGTAGTTTATCTGGAAAGTGATCCCTGGAAGAGGGGTGAGGGATCAGGGAGAATGGGGCAGACAAGGAGGAAAAGCGCATGAAGGGGGCATTACCAAGATCTCAGCTAGAGGCCACAGAACCCTGAGAAGTATGCAGACAACTCCAGAGTTGTAGTTCTGAAGGATGGGGAGGGGGAGATTATCCACCAGCTCCCATACCCACTGGCTTGCAGTTGCCTGCAGGGTGCATTTACTCTCCTTTGTCCCTAAACTGTGCCCTGTGCTTGGGCTAACAAGTCATCAGAGAAAGCCCTGAGGCAGAAAAGCAGAGAAATGCAAGGTGGGGCTCTTGTGCTAGAATGGTCAGCAAGGGAAGAAACGGCTACTCCAGCTGTGCCTGGCATCAAAATGGGCAGTTTCAGACCCCACCTACCAAGCCTAGCATATCATTTTGCAAAAGATGTAAGCAAATAATAGCTGTGAAAATGGCTAGAGTGGAAGCTTCTTGAGGGTAGGCATGGTCTTCATTCTGTATTCTGAAAGCATTGCATACACAGTTCCAAGCAAAGCATGACTAAGGACTCTTATCAAATATTTATTGTATGATTATTACATGAATAGCATGAGCATTATGTGTTGGGGAGGGGAGGGAAGCCTCAAGAGAGTCCTTGTCTTCCATCTGTAATGTAATGTCAGTGGGAAAGTGATAACAGAGGGTGGAGTCACTCAATTGCAAAGTATAGAGTTCAGATAATGCCTGTGACAGGGGTTGAGAATGGACTGGGTAAAACTACATGGATAATATGGAACTGGTACTGTATCACGAAGCATAAAAAAGAGTTTGGATGGGTTTGGGTATATGTGTGTGTGTGCATGTGTGTTTATAAGAGGCAGAGGAAGGGGAAAACCCATTGAAGGGTATTGGCACATGGAAAACTTTTAAAGAATTTATGCTAAATTTTGTTTCAGATGTGACCCATAACTCAGAATTCTCTGGCACCCCAGCGTGAACCACATTGGCCAGTTCTCCTGACTTGAAGTGCGAGCTTCCCTTATTCCCTGGTCTGACTGACTTGACTACACACATCTTCCACTGACGTTTTGTTCAGTCTGGACCAGTATGACTGTATCAGTCACTTGGGATTTTAACAGACTGCCTAAGGACTGCTGAGTTCTCTCAAAACAAACACCCTCTTGCAATTAGCTTTCTAGAAAGCCCAACTCATGTGTGCTCAACAAATAGACCTCACTGGGATGGAATCCCTGTCTTCACATCTGCTTCTAGCGATGCACCAGCCAGAAAACAAGCACATCTACAAATATTTTAAAAGATGCCAAGGGTACTGAATCTGCAAAGCAAATGGCTGCCAAGGGCCAGAATCTGTCTGCATTTCTCCACAGACTACCTCTTCTTCCTGTGGGCACAGGCATTCCTTTTTCAGTCAGACTGTAGAGGGAGATGCTTCAAAACTGTAGCTATTTTATTTCTGAGGTGTGGATATGTAAGTGTACTCTGCCAATTCATTAGTACACAGAACCCTTCTCCAAGCTGTGAACCCCAGGCCATCATTCCACCAAGAGTTTTTAGATGCCTTCTGCCCTCCACTTTCCTTTTTAAAGTACTTTTACAAGACTACTTGACAGATACTCTGAGTAGGGAGCTATGGCTACATTTTTTTTCTCTGCTGCTCAATGAAATATTATATATATATATAATATATATATTCTACATATAGTTACAGCCTAATGAATACAATTTGCCTATAGTCTCCCTACAAGAATATTTTTGCTCCAGAAAGACATTTTATTTTCCCAAACACAGTTAAAATGGTTTACTCTGCTGACTTGTTGACATCAGTGGTAGAGAATATTGCCAAGAATCAGAAGCGACTTTATTTTATGATCCTGTTTTTGACCATTATCTATGTTTTCGTGGTGCTATTAATTATAAACTAGGCTATTTCATAGATCACAGTAAAATTTCAAGCAAACAAATCCACCTTTCACTGTCAAGCATTGTCCTGGGGATAGAGCCATTGGTGTATTCAGTATGAAAGCTGCAGTTCCTCGAGGTCACTGCCAAACTACAGCCATGCCGTCTGTGGCCCCCATCAGCCTGGAGCAGCCATCTAGACCTGGGTGGAATTCCAAGTGTTGACAGATCCTCCTGAGTCCAAGGACAACCACCTGCCGAGGCTGAAGTCCGCCCCAGGACCATACAGGGTCTGCCTGCCTTTGTGTGCGTCCAGGATCTGTGAAGAAGCACAGATGTCAGGGAGTAACCAGCATGATTCCCTCTCCTAGCAACCATTCAGCCTGGAAACTGACTCTGGCCCTTCAAGATAGTTTTCCTTTAAATACAATTTGGTTGGGAAGATTTTTAAATATACGTAACATGTGATTATTTTTAGCTGGATTATTTTCTCCACTTCCTGTCTGCATACCCAAGGCCCATGTGTATGTAACAGCATTTTTAACTTTTGGTAAAATGGGGTTATATGGTAGTTTTAAAATTTGTAATTGCCTGCTTATATTACTTTAAAAGTGAGACCTGATGTTTCATTATGCATACTTACATTATTTTAAGGATGTGTAATGCCGGACATGTACAGTAAAGTACTGAATTTGTAATTTGAATCAAGTATAGTGTTGTTTATTTTCAGCTGACTCAGACAACCTGGCTAGCTTTGCAAAGGCGTTTTCCTGAGTTGTTTGCAGCTTCCTGGGCTGGAGGTCAGGGTGGGGCAGAGAGAGCCTTCATGAGGTCTTCCTGGCCTGGTTGTCCAAGCCGTGCCCTGAAGACCCCTCCCTCTCAGCACTGGACATTTCAAAGCGAGTTCTTGAAGGATACAATTTCTGTGAAATAAAAACTCATGAAATCGATTTTAGCAGTAGTAAGAAGTATGTGAGAAATAAACATCTGATGTTCAGCCACGAAAATACCTCACAGTGTTTTCTTGGGGGAGGGAAGTGATCGCCTTGGCTGGTGCTTGCAAACTGGACCTTGTCCTTGCGGACAGCCACATGGTTGTGGACAGACACTCTTTGCATTTTCTTTCTTTCTCTTCTTTTTTAAATATTGAAACCACCACAAACTTGTAAAAAAAACTTAGAAAGACAGCAAAAGGACTAATTTCTGACCTTAATGCCCTATCACCTTTGAATAATAAGTGTTTCCTATAAAGAAGAGCAACGTCCTCCATAATCACATTACACCATCAACGCCAGAAAATTCATATTGATACATTGCTGCCATCTAATCCTCAGACTGCATGGAAGTTTTTCCAGGTCCCCATAACGTATTTTGTAGCAAAAGATTCCACCCCGAATCTCCCTCTGCACGCAGTCGCTACTTCTTTGGTCCTTCAGCCCGGACAGTCCTCAGCCTAGACTTCCATGGCCTTGGCTCTGATGTTACTTCATAATTAAAATCAGGTTATTAATCTTTGGCAAAAAGAACACAGAACAGTCTGCATGGTTTCCAATTTTTTTCAATGAGTAAACATTTGTTACTATCATTTTATTATTTTGATGCTTAAATTGCCCCATCTTGGGCCAGCAGGAGCCTATTCTGGTTCTGGTGTCCTAGCACATCCCCGTCATCTTTCAGCACTTCTTTGCTTTTTGGATGAACATGACATTCCAGGCTCAGCTTGTGGTTTCCTTGCCTCAGTAGCTGGAATCAGCTGTTTCTCCAAGTAGGCCTAGTTTCTTTGAGTAGGGGATAGTTTTTGGAAGCCAAGATCAAAGCTTAGTGAATGTTCATTGCTACTAGGATTTCCCTGCTCCCAGGCCCCTCAGTGCACAGAGCTGGGATACACACACACACATGCACACAAATATAGATATAAATATTTGTATGTATATGTGTATGTGTGGGTATACAAATATATATATATACATATATTTAAAAATAGATAAAAATGTGTATGTGTATATACCTATGTATGTGTTCAAATTGTGTACTTATATTTTTATAAATGAAACTGTGCACATATGTATATACACACACAAATACATATATATGCATATGTTTTACATCTATATTTATTTCTGTGCTATCTATATATGCTGAGGTCCACAAGTTCACACTAATGCCTTTAATTCCAAAACAACACTGCAAGGTTCATTCTAGATTTATTTCTGTCTGTTATCCTTATTATGCTTACTTATTTGACCAATTCCCCCAGCATGAAACCAGTCTCCCATCCTGGCTGCACCCTCCTCCCCACATGGGAGCTTCCTCTTCCTGCTCAGGTCCTGACTGGTCAGTCCCAGCTGCCCAGGCCTGGAATGGGCCCGCTTGGGCTCTGGCTCCTCACGCTGGGCTCTCCCACCCCATGGATGCCCTTCTTATCCTGTTTGGGCTCCAAGACCCCAGACCAGGCCCCTCTTCCATCCCCAGCTCCGGGCCACAGTGGCTCCCGTGGCCGGGGGTGGCAAACTGTATGGCCTGTGTTGTACACTGGCTCTCGGAGTTTGCCATTGTGTTCAGTTCCAATTGCCTACAGTTTTCTGGTTGATACCCTTTATTGGCAGCTAGTCCTTCCAGGTCTCACTGCCTTACTTCCCTATTGGCGTTTCTTTCACTTGTCACAGAATCTGCCTATCTTGGAATCCGTGTCTTGGCCTCTGCTTCCCGGGCTCCAGCTCAGGCCTGCCTTCACCTGTCCAGGCCTAGCCGAGTGGTTTTCCACTGTTGCTAGTCCTGCTCCTTCATCCTCCCTTGTTTATTCCTTGACTGTATCTTCACTTTTGGAAACAATCCCTTCATTGCCCTCTTCACTTAACCTTTAAGTTATCTCCTATTTTGGCATAGACTCTGACTGCATCACACCCCAGAAATATGGCTTGCTCCTTCTACTCCATCTCCCTTCTGTGTCCATTACTCTGGGACACGGGCTTCCTAGGATCTGACCTCCTTGTTTAGGAATACCAGCTTGAATTTTGATAAATAAAGTTCTCCACTTTTATATGTTTCTTGCTGTGAAATCCACATTCTTCCCAAGAAGGGACCACTTCTTCTTTGTGACCCAACCCCTCTTCCCACTTCCAACCTACTCCATTTTATTTATTTATTTTTCTACTGGGTGGTTAAGATTTCTCTCAGTGCCATGGAAGACTAGCTGGGTTGCTAGTTAATCTTTGTTCTATGAAAATGAGGAACAGGAAAATTTGAAATTTTCCCAGGTGGTGCATACATCAGTCCCAACATTTAATTTCCCCCTTCCAGGAAGGTGAGGAAGACGGTGAATTTACCAAGTCTTTCCTACATGAAGACAAGCTACCCTTGGGTGTCTTTTACTCTATGCCACCTTTTCTTTCTATCTTGTTGATTAGTGTTTATGAGTTCAGTGCATGAATCTGAGCTCTTCTCCTCCTAGCCATGTAATCCTTCTAAGGCAGCGAGACAGCCTGTTATCAAATCTAGAAATGACCCCTAATATCAGCTCTTGTGGATTCTTCTTTCTTCCAAGTCCTATCCATTCTTGTGCCATTCAGGAACATGCTCTAACCATTACTAAAAGTCATCCCTTTTATTGTAGTCCCCTTTGCATAGGGCTTACGAAATTTTTCATTTTCAGAAAGCTAATAGCAGTGGTTAGGCAAATTCACCAAGAATCTGGTCTCTACAGGTGGAGTTGGACTAAAGCCTTCAAATAATTATGGACATCAGCCACTGACCTTTCTCCTTAAGGAAGGGTACCCATTGAAGCAGTTAAAAAACTGGTCTCTGATTTCACACAAGAGAGCTTTTTGTCTTCTTGTTAGTGAAGAGTATAATGGCTTCTAAGTATGGTTCTTTAACAAAAATATTACATCCTATATGTGACGTCTCCTTTCATGGTCTCTCTCTATTCTTTTTTTCTGACTTAATGGTGATAGTCCAGAATGACTGCAGCTCGTCTAATGGATTTGGCAATCTTTCCCATCATTATTCCAATAATTTGGAAGTCATGGGAAATGCCCTCTTGAGCTAAGCTCGGAAGATACTGGAATTCAAAACGCAGCCGAATACCCCATCGTGTGTCTAACACATCAGACAAGTTCCCCTAAAATCCCAGGATAAAATCCAGATACCTCTGAGTCCACTCAGAGTTACACTGAAAAAAATGACATTCCATCAGAAATAAATTTTAATTGCAAATATATATTTTCCCAGTCTTTTGAGAACAGGCCAAAATCAAGAGGTTTCAATCAAGAGGTACAGCAAAACTTCATTACCAAAAAAAAAAAAAAGAGAGAAAACATCCTCAGTATCAGTGCCCCTCACATGCCTGGAGGCAGCTCTCAAAGCAGCTCCTCCTCCCTCTTTGTTCTGTAGCCCCTTTGAAGCAGCTTGCACCTCTCTTCTGTCCCCTCCCCACCTCTTCCTATTCAAGCCCCTGATAAAATAACTCTCTCTTTCTTCCTAATTCACATTGTCCTTATATTGGATTCCTCTGGCTGCTGTAACAGATTACCATGAACTTGGTGGCTTAAAACAACACAGACTTATTCTCTTGAAGTTCTGGAGTGCAGAAGTTCACAATCAGTTCCACTGGCCTGAAGTCAAGGCACTGGCAGGGCTGGTCCTTCTGCAGGCTTCAGGGAACAATCTGTTTTCTTGCTCTTCCAAAGCCTCTAGTGGCTGCGGCATGCTTTGGGTTGTCATCACTCCACTCCCTGCTGCTGTTGTCACATTGCCTTCTCCACTTCTGTGGTGAAATCTCCCTCTGCCTTTTTTCTTATAAGGACACTTCTGATTACATTTAATTCTGTCTGACTAATCGCCATCTCAAGATCCTTAGCTAATCCCATCTGCAAACATCTGCAAAGTCTCTTTTGCCATGTGAGGTAATCTATAGGTTCCAGGGGTTAAGACTGGGATGTCTTTCAAGGACCACTATTCAGCCTTCCACACTCCCCTAACCACTTGGATTTTGGGGGGCAGGGCATCCCCTATGAATTGTTCCTTTTGCTTCCAACCTGGGTCCTACACTTAGGATTCCCCACCCACGTCTCTAATTCTCTTTCTGAAACTCCACGCCCATCCTTAACGAAGCTCCAGTTATTAACTCCTTTAGATTCTCTCCCTGTCCAGTGGGCCATGTTCCAAGTCTAAGTTCTGCTGTCATGATTAGTTTCAGACTTCATCTTACTGGATGGTGGATACTCATTACTCTTAGCAGAGAAGGTGCAGGGGTGGAGAGCAACAGGCCAGTGTGGGACTCAGAGCTGTGGTCAATCGTGAACTCAGTTTTGCCAATTCCAATTTCCTTTACATTATATCCATCAAGAGGAGCTGCAAACCCTTTGGCTTGTTTACTAGCTGCTCCTTTACAGCAAGCACATGCCTGAGCAACAAACTATACTTTACTCCCATGTTATGAAAAAACTCAATTGTCTTACTTAGCCTGGAGCCCACCCTGTCCCTTGTGTCATTGGGTCCCCATCACAGTGAAATAAAGTTTTTTTTTTTACCCCATTTGTCAGAGCTTGTCAGAATCCTAAAAGAAGTTGACATTAGCTTTTAATGGCTATTTACTTTATCATTGTGGGAAGTGGGCTAGATTTGTTTAAGTTATGTTGGGGTTTCCCCTCTAACGGAAATCAGGTTGGGGATCTCCTATTTCCCTCCATCCCATGATGTATAT